TTTTTTTTATTCACATATATATAATGTCGGTTTGTTTTTTTTTTTTATTCACATATGGGCTGCTGTCAATAGAAATCAAGCAGATCTACATTTGAAAAAAAAACAATACCTTAACTTTCAAAGCTTATATCTTGATGAATTTTAAAGCTATCTTAATATATTAATATTCAAAAGAGTGCGTACGATCTAGCTTCCTTTTGAATACTAGATAATTAAGATAGTTTTAAAATTCATCAAGATATGAGCTGTGAAAATTAAGGTATTAATTTTTTTTTTTCAAATGTAGATCTGCTTGATTTCTATTGATGTCAGCTCATATGTCAGTTCGTTTTTTTATTATTATTATTTATTTATTATTCACATATATATTTTTAGGTCAGGTTCGAGTTGGCCAAAACCCAACCTGATCGGAACACTAGGCATTTTCAAATAAGGCACAACTTTCTTTATTTGATGGAAGAAGACAACTTTCTAACAATTCAAAGCAATACATCCAATTTCCAGTCCAGTCCATTATATACAGAGATAAGTCCAATCCTATATTGAATGTGATCAATTAGTTATATAGCAAAGTCTAGACAAATGGTCTACATAAATATCTGTTAGAATAATCTCACCTGCAAGCATCCAACCGTATACAATAAGTTTTTTTTCTCTAGTTAGTTATTTTTTTAAAGTACTATTTAACAAGTCTTGCATTAATACTGCAAGTTTAACTTTGTTCAAATATTTCTTTTTTGGTGATACAAGTGATATTCCAAGTAAACATAGCCCGTTTGCGACCTCTCTGTACAAGACTTCAAATTTATTAGATATCTTTGTCAGGATGCCTTTCATATCAACTTTGTGCCCCATATGAGCTTTGTCGAAAGAATTTGCTTTCTCATTCCTCATATCTTTCAAGCCAAGTGACTGAATCTCTCCCTAAATATGCTTAGACAAATCTCTTAGTAATATATATTTTGCTATAAATCAATATACAATAACATATCATGTATCTTTTACTAATAAAGGATCCATGACTGCATTGAATAAAGGGTACATAGTAGTAAATTTAATTTCTTCCTCCGTCTTATCTCCGACCTTTTTCATGTTAAAGATTCTAATAGAAAAAACTTATTAGATATCAAATAATAATGATAATCTTGACTTTTTTCGCATAATTTATGAACAAAAATATAAATAATGATGAGCCGATCCTTACATAAATTGAATATTCATGTGTAGTTTTTCATTGTATTCATTATTTTCAAAATTAACAGGATCGCAATTAGAATCAAAATATTTTCGAAGGTTTTTTAGAGTTGGTTCCAGAGACCAGTGAACATAGTTTGCAAAATCTTGTGAGATTTCAGTGATTTCGCTTTGAGAGAACTCCTTACACCTATAGAGGCTCTCCTGCGTCAAGTTGAAAACTCACCAGTAACATAATCTATTAGATACCAAGCAAAGCTTAAGAATGAGTAATTTTATTATGTTGAAGTTGTAGTAACAAGGCTTACGTTATAATCTGACATGTTTTTGAAATTTTATTTTGATTTTTCTTGAATTTCTCAAAGATAAAAAGCCTACTTTATTATAGTTTACCAACAACAAGTAGAAGGACTCTTTAACAAATTAGACTTGAAAACTTATCCAAATATGACTGCAAACTTAAAACAATCCTCTTATTTAGAAATATAAATAAAAACAATATTACTATGAGACTTTTGAATGTTTGTATAAAATGTAAAAAGCAATCACAAGAAATCATATATGAAAGTATAAAAACTTATGAAAAAGACTAAGCAAATAAAATGTTTTTGGATTTATTTCAACTTTAATATATTAGAATCTTCGTTATACTGAAGAAAAAACTTTCAATGTTGTATTTTTGCGTATATATATATTTTATAGCAATAAAGATTATAAAGATGTAAATCAGTGATCATTTAAAAAAATATTTTCAATAGTTATTTTTACAATAAATTTTAATAAACTTTTTTTTAAAAAAATAAACCTATTATAAAACGAACCTATATTATATATGTGAATAATAATAAAAAAAAACAAACAAACAGATATTATATATGCTTATGTAAATAATAATAATAATAATAATAAAACGAATAAGTTAATACTTAATGCTAGCCAAAAAATTAATCTTAATGCTAGCCAAAATTAATCTTAATGCTAGCCAAAATTAGTCTTAAAGCTGGCCAAAATTAATCTTAATGCTAGCCAAAATTATCTTAATGCTAGCCAAAATTAATTTAATGCTAACTTGCCTTATTATTAGTAATTTTCGGGTCAAGTTCGGTTCGGGTTGACTCTTAACCCGAACCCGGCCCGAGAATTTTCGGGTCAATTTTTCTTACAGCTGTTTTCATAACATCTGGCAAAAAATGGTCTGAACAAATATTGCCGGTTCGATAAGTTTGTGATTCGGTAGTGAATTACTGTAATTCACATCCAAATCAAAAGTTTATCACTGCCGAATCACAAACTTATCGAACCGACAATATTTGTTCGGACCATTTTTTGCCAGATGTCCCAGAATTTATGAAAACAGCTGTAACCTGAACTCGACCCGAACTTTCGGGTCGGGGTTTTTTTTCGGGTTTGACCCGACCCGATCGGAACACTAGTGATGACTAAAGTGATGACGAGAGTGATGACTAGAGTAATAACGAGAGTGATGACTAGAGTGATGACAGGAGTAACAACGTGGTATATGACAAGAAATACTCATGACTAAATAAAGGAGTCATAGCGTGAGGGAAAGAGACAAATCGTGTCAGAATAAAGACAAGAATAACTTATCTTAGCTTCGAAGTCCAAATGTTATAAAAAGCGTTGTAATATCTCCTTTGTAAAAAGGAACTCAATTAATAAAGTTCTAAATCAGTCCTTGATAACTATAATAAAGATATAAACTCAATTAAAGTAATAAACTTAATACCAAATCATTAATATCACGCCTCTGTCGAGAAGCTTTATAAACGAAATCGACTCATCCGCCCGTAACACTATATATAAAATTCTTATGGATTTAATTTTTCTATTTTTTCACCAATTCCTTCTCGATAACATTCTTTCTGGCAGTTCATTTTTTTTATCATTTTTTTTTAAGAAAGATACAAGTTTGTATTACATGCATAAAAATGCAATGAATGCTGTTCAAGTAAAAACATGATTCACACAATTCTAATCCGTTCAATCCGTTCAACAGATCATACCTCTATCGGGACACACAATGCTACGCATTAACCTATTTCTTATTACAAATTCAACACAAAATATCAATGGTTACAACTAGGAGTTCGAACGGACATAAAATTTCCAAATAACATTTCTGATACGAATTTCATAATATTTATGCAAATAAGTAACAAATTTTGGTCAAAATACATCAAAAAAGTAATTTTCGAATCAATTGACGTAAACACTGAGAGTCCTCTGCTACGCTCCGCAGGGTTACAAGTATACAGTATTAACCTTCATATATTTTCCTTTCTTTGGAACGTCATATAATTATTTTAAATTTTATTTTTTTTTATTTTTTGCATAAAATTGATTCACATCAAACATGGAAAATCGAGTTTTTCTATCTTCTACCGAATTATCATTATATCAAATCATTTTAAATTGAAACCATTTAATACATATATTGTTTTTTGCAATGGGAACGGAATCGCCTTTTATTTTAATTTGTGTTTTACATTTTTTGGTCTATTAATGTTTTGTCGTCCAATTTTACGTATGTTTATAATCTAATGAAACTCAAATCTGTTATTATTTTGCTTAATTTAAATGATTCATGAACAATTTTGTGATTTCAATCTATTTAGAACTTGCTAAAACAATTATATTCGAACAAATAAATGGTATACTTTCATTGCACTCGATAGATTATATGTATGTAAAGCTTGAAAGCGACTTAATAAAATTATGAGTTGAAATTTTGAAGCCTTAAGGAATAACTTTAATTCTCATAATTTGTTATATACCTGGTTTCATCAACTCTATAAGTAATAAATTAAGTAAAAAATAATCAAAATTTTAATAACTTTTTTTTTCACTTTTAAAAAATATAGTTTTAGTATTGAGTTTAAACTGTTGCTCATCAAATAAATGTTTCTTTGGAATTTTTTCCGTGTACATACTTAATTTTTGTATTTGTACTTTGTTGCCTGTTTTATTTTT